AATCAACAGGGCGGAGCAAGCAGCTATGGTGGATCCTCAGCCCTGCCCTAAGGGGTCTGCGTCTCAGAGTCCCGGTAATCGCTGCAAGCACCTTTGAGAGAAAGCTGCCCTCTAGTTCTGAGTTCTGCCTGCTGCCAGACAGTCCAGTTTCTCCCCGTATGAGTCTGGGTCCCCAGAGACTCACCCAGAACTGGAGTTCAGAGCAGTCCGGGGCTTGTGACTCCCTCCTGATTCAAAAAGACAGCCGCGTCCTCAGTTGCCAGCCCTTGCCGCATGTGCCTCCATACCTCTGCACTTCCGCACCTCCTCTGAGTCTCAGTGTGCTTTTCTCTTTCCTTCTAGTTGTAGAATTTCCACTCAGCCAGCCTTCCTGTGGTTCTGGATGACGTCCGTTTTGTCTTTTAGTTGTATTTTTGAAATTGTTGTGGGAGGCAGCAATTTCCGGTGTTTACCTATGCCGCCATCTTGGTTTCTCCCGGCCCTTCTCTTCTGTCTCTGTTGTGTGAATTTGAAAACCTGCTTTTTAAAATATATTAATTCAATGACTGAGCAATTTCTGAAAGCAGAATGATATTCTGTGCCTCTTAATTTCTTCTTGGACTTGAATATTAGTGATGGTGGCAGAGGGGGGGAAGTACTAAGAAAAGCACACAGCTGCTAGAATATGCTTGTGATTTAGAGCCTTTTTTTTCTCCCTTCCCCTCCCTTCCCCTCCCATCCCCTCCCTTCCCCTCCCTTCCCCTCCCATCCCCTCCCATCCCCTCCCCTCCTCTTCCCTTCCCTTCCCTTCCCTTCCCTTCCCTTGAGGATGCTAGGCATTTTTTCATCATCTTAACTTCCCAAACTCTTCTAACTCACAAACATTACATTTTATACTTAGGCTGACTTTGTTACGGTCACAGGACTAGTAGATAAAGTCATTATTTCAACCTAGAGTGTATTAACTCTAACTTCAGTACTCTTTTTCACTGTGGCTATGTTTATAAAAACTTGAAAAAACATTTTTAATTGAATATAAAACTGGAAAGGAGTAAAGGGAGTAATATTTGAGGGTACTCGTGGGGGAATATTTCTAAAGAATATGAAAATGTTAAAGTTGAGGAAAATAAATTGTGCTCTGCCTGGGATAATAATCTGTTCCACTTACACATCCCACAAAAAAATAAAAATCAAGAGCTTTGAGAGATCCTCCATGGACCATCCGTCAGAAGATGTCCACTGTTCAGAACCTCTTCAGCCCACTTTTGCTTCCTCCCAGCTACCTGGTGTACCCTGGGCTATATCCAGTGCAGCCCAGAGCCCCATCTTGGGGTGCGGAGGGTGTTCCCATTTCCTGGCTCTTTTCCATTTTGACTCCTCCATCATCTCATTGTGAAACAGGCTAGTAAGCCAGGACAAGCAGAACAGGGAAACGGAGACCATTAAACAGCAGTTTGCAGTCATCTAGTAAATCCTATCTTCCCTAACCCAGGAACACTCCTCCCCAACCAGAGGATAAATAGCTTAAATCGCCCTACTAACCAGAAATCCATGAGTGCCATTGCTGACCATCCCCAAGGACAGATGACTTCAAGAGAATAAACCTCATTTTGGTGCATCAGCATAAAACCTGAATACGTACTCTATTTAGAGATCTTCCCCTAAACACCCAGGCTTTAAAACTCCTCAGAACGAAGGTCCAGGGCGCTCTTGCATCCAGGAACACACCTGCACCTTCCCCCATAGGCGTGCACCTCCCAAACTCTAAGGGACCCCACCGGGCTTACTTACAACCGGGGCAGCAATGGGCAATGCTAGTCCATCCCAGGGACCCCCCACCTGTCCCCCCCAAGCCTGTCCCCCAGGGGCCTTTTCTCTGACTTCTTACTGAGCAAAGCAGCCCAGCCAAGGCCCATTCCCCAGCCCTCTCTCGTCTCACTGTCCCCTGAGATCCACCCGGACCCCGACTGTGAACGCCGAGAACCCACACACTCCGGCCGCTCAGGGCCGGGCCCTTCCGGCAGCAGTCGCACTGTCCTGCGCCCCGCGCTTTCACAGAGTCGCCCTCTCTTGGTAAAATGCTTTATTAATTGGGTTTAGGAAAGATTCTTAGTGATAATGGCCTGCTTCTTTGATTTACTAGAATGAAGTTTTCTGAGAGTGAGACTAGATTTAACTTGTTCGCAGTCAGGACCTCTGTGCTTTGACGCTCACTTCCATGCGGCTGTTTTTGTAAAACATGAGAGTATTTCTAATTGAAGAGGACACCGGCGAGAAGAGCATGGAAGCATCTGGAGCGGGACAGCTCTCGGGTTTGGTACCGGCTCAGGCCCGCCGAGCAGGGGGTTCGGGCTGGTAGTTTAGCAGCCTGTATTGGGTCTAAGGTCCAAGTAACACTTGGGGGCGGGGGGGAGGGGGGGGAGCGCCCTGATTTTTGTGTTTAACCCTCTAGACCTGGGATAGAATTTCAACTTCATCTCCAAGTGACAACGTTCTCTTTTCTCGGATAAAGGACATAACGCAAGCCCAATTCCTTCCTCGTCCCCGAGGACCGTGAGCCCCCACCTCACCGCCTCCCCCGGCTGTTCCCGGGGCTCGCACACAGGGCGCCGACCACTCTGGTGGTGGCGGCTGCAGCTCTGGGGGCGAACGCTCGGAAGCTCCCCGAGGCCAGGCCGCGGCTGTAGATTTAGAGCCTCTTAAGGAAATCCTGACCTGGCCATTTGTCTCACTTGGATGGAGCATCGTCCTATACACCAAATGGTTTCAGGTTCAATTCCCTGCCAGGAAACCTACCCTATGTCTCTGGTCTGGGTGTGAACGGGAGGCAGCTGATCAATGTTTCCCTCCCTCTCTCTCTCTCTCTCTCTCTCTCTCGCTCTCAAAATCAATAAAAACATATCCTCCAGTGAGGTTAAAAAAAGAAAAGAAAAAAATCCTGTTAGCTATTAAAAAAAAAAAAAAGGAAGCACCAATGTTTTCCAAGATCTCAGCATCTTTATGAAGAGTGGAATATGGGCGCTCCTTTTAAACGTAGTACAGAATGTTAGAATATAGACAGAGTACCCCTCACAGGGAGATTTTGTATGTCTAATAGTGGTTTACCTTTACCAATTTTAATTCTGACAAATGTAATGTTTCTGTCTTCCTTTTAAAATGGAACACAACAGCCGGTCTGACTGAAATTGTTAGTTTTGCATGCACTACTATTTATTGAACAGTTCAGAGGGCAAGAAGCAAAGCGTGATGATTTTTTCTTTTTGCTTGCCAGCTCCATAACTGTTGACTGTTCTACAGTGATCTTCCTGTCCTCTTCACTCCTGTCTTCTGTCTTCTTCTCTGCTTTGGAATCAGAAATTTCCATTCAAATCTCCATGTCACTAAGAACTGTGCTTGTGAGAACACAAGTTAATCTCTCAACCTGTCCTCTGTAATGATAATTACAATTCCCATCTCACAGGATGTATAGGTCAGTGTTAGAATTGAATGACACAATTTGTATTATAGTGGCTGACACATATTATATTCTGCAAAAATCATGTTTCCTTTCCAGCCCCCAATGTCAGGAAAGACACACAAATTTTTTCATGACTCAACATTTATTTGGGAATGGCAGCTGGCTTCTTTTACAGTTTCAGATTTAATTATCATTACCTTGAAACAGAATATTTAATTTTTATGATGCACTTTCCTCATCCTCTAATATCCATAACAGTCATTTCATCACTATTTTCATCACTCTGTAGTGGACTTTTGCTTTGGCAGGAGAAAATGGGGACAGGGAGATGTTGGGACAGGAAGGTTTGCCCTCTGATGGCTCTGTGCTTGTCCTATCCATGACAGCTTAAGCTCACTCCTACAGAGAAGAGCCTGGCTCTGTCCAAATGAACAGATGCCCTTAATAAATGTTTTGGTCTGTGGTCTGCCTTGATATCTCTTTGGGTGTTGCCACAACCTTTTGCAGCAAGGATTCAGGATCTGGAAAAGGGGCTGATGCACAAGTGAAGACACTAGACAAGAAATATGAATTTAGAAGGCATGGGGGCCAGGCAGAAACCTTTCTCTAGTGGAGAGGCTCCCCGAAGCCCTGGACCTGTTAGCTTTTATTCAATTTTAGAATACACATCTTGCCCTCAGTTAGTAATGGCAATCCAGTAGCAGACAGACTATCTCAAAGGTCAGTAAATATTACTAAAGGTTTACTTTGAGACTATTAGGTTAGGAAATTGCTTGAGCCACCACTATCTTGACAGAACAATTGATGCATAGTGTTTAGCCCTTGCTAAAGCTCAAGGTTCATCAGCCTTCTGGGTTCCTTGTTGCACTTTCATGATAGTGTTTGACAATGGATAGCTTCCCGTATCTCCCCCTTTTTGTTTTCTTAATAAATCTTGAAAAGTGTATGCTGCCTGAAGGGCTTGAGTCCTTTTAAGACTCTTCATTCCACATCTTCAGACTAGAAATAAACATATAAGAATAAGAATGACACAGGCAATAGTGGTTATGCTAAGAGGCAAATGTAAGCAGATCCAGTGAAAGCAATTAAATTCTTTCATGTCCTTTTTAAATTGCTGCCAGGCATCTAAGAAATTAGTTTGTAAGTTTGCCTGAAATAATTGTACAATATGCTGTTGTAATTCTAAAATATCAAGGGTTGTGTTACCTTTACCCCAAGCACCAAGAAGGTGATTTTTTTAATTGATTCCCAAGGGTATAAGGTACTCTTATAGGGAACAGGGGTAATACAAATCTGGGAAAAATTTTAATGACACTGTAAGGATATTCTTTGCTCTAAGCCATGGATTTTATCACGCATCCACAAAACTGTAGACTTTAGTGCTGATAATTCTATCTCAAACTGACTGTCAATTCTTTTTTGTATATACAATTCTTTTTTGTATAGTTACATTTTCCTTAACTTGTTGTACAAACTGAGAAGTTTGAACAGTTTGTACCATGGATGAAGCAGCAATTCTCACAGAAGTAAGTAACATTACGAGAGCAAAAAGTCCAGAGACCCGGCTGGGCCGGCGACATGGAGCCGCTGTACCAGCAATCGCACAAGCAGGTCCACCAGATCCAGTCTCACATGGGACGCCTGGAGACGGCAGACAAGCAGTCTGTGCACTTAGTAGAAAACGAAATCCAAGCAAGCATACCAGATATTCAGCCAGCAAGAACGCCTGGAGATTTTGTCCAGCAAGGAGCCCCCCAACAAAAGACAGAATGCCAAACTTCGTGTTGACCAGTTAAAGTATGATGTCCAGCACCTACAGACTGCTCTCAGAAACTTCCAGCATCGGCGATATGCAAGGGAGCAGCAGGAGAGACAGCAAGAGGAGCTTCTGTCTCGCACCTTCACCCCCAACGACTCTGACACCACCATACCAATGGATGAATCACTGCAGTTTAACTCCTCCCTCCAGAACATTCACCACGGCATGGATGACCTCATTGGAGGCGGGCACAGTATTCTGGAGGGACTGAGGGCCCAGAGAATGACCTTGAAGGGGACTCAGAAGAGGATCCTTGACATTGCCAACATGCTGGGCTTGTCCAACACGGTGATGCGGCTCATCGAGAAGTGGGCTTTCCAGGACAAGTACTTTATGATTGGTGGGATGCTGCTCACCTGTGTGGTCATGTTCTTCATGGTGCAGTACCTGCCATGAGCCAGCTAAGCCCAGCAGCTGGACAACGTTCCCACTGCATGAGCGTGTGTGACTGTGTATGTGTGCGTGAAAGAGAGAAGGGGGGCCCAGAGGCCATGTTTTGAAATGTATGTCCGTCTTAACTGTGAAAACCACTCAGAAGTAATTGTGATCTGTAACCCAGTGAGCATTTCAAACCTGCTCTGTTTGTGACATCTTGGAGAGGATGCAAGTGCTACCAAGATTCATGGTGCATAGGAAAAAAAAAAAGTCCTGCAATTAACATTCCAAGAAATCGTTTTTGTCATTTTAAGATTTTTACCAGGTCATGTAACAGTTGGTAGGTTTGATGAGATTCCCAAGGCTCAGTTAGGTTAGTAGGAACCCACGAGAAAGCAGGTTGTTTTAAAATCATGAGGGAATCTTTTTGGAATGTAGAATTAATACAATGGGATACTGTGCAACCTCTGCATGACACCTCATACAGATGGCTTGTTGCATTAAGGCACATCTGGATGGGGCCTGAGAGGAGGACAAAAGGATCAAATACACAAGCAGTGGCAAACACTGTCTTATTGGGAGTTCCCCATAAGGTACAAATGGAATTTTCTAAGCTATAGTTAAAACTATACCATTTTATAGGTGCAAGTGCAGCAGCTAATTTCCATTGCGTATTTTGTAGGGGCCAATTATCATGTTGTAATTGAGATTCAACAAACCCTCCTCCATACCATAAGATGGAGTGATTAGCTTCAACATATAGGTAGGATGCGGTCCCCTTCCATTTTAGGGTGCAATTGTTACTATATGCAGACCCGTAGGGGCTCCAATCCACAAAGGAAAAACTGTTATAAAGCTTGCTGCTGGTGGGGTGGTCACAATAACAGTCCTTCCAATTAATTTATTCCTCGGTGGGGTGCCATTCATAAAACTTTTTATATAATGGCTTAGTGGGGGGATGACTTAGTAATGTTACATTTTCTGTACCTCTCCCCTGAGCAAGTAGTGATAGTAGATGTATTTGGGCTTTGCTTCCCCCTACTTTGGTGTCCATGCTAGCCAGAAACCTCTCCTTAATTCTACACACAAAGGAGCAGTAGTTAGATTCTTTATCATACAAAAAGGAAGCTGGGTGGCGACACCCGTGTAATTATACTTTGCCCATATACTTCCTTGTCCCACCTGTGGTCCCCCCAGATGACCAAGGTGCTTGGTATTATTGGTGACTACACCAGGCGGGGGATCAGCCCAAGTAAGGGGTCTTACCCATGAAGGGTCAGGAGCATAAGTCCAATATACTTCCCCATTTGCCCATGGTAGTATTACCGCACAACTGATGACTGCTAGCATGGCAAGAAAAACTTTCTCAGGCGTTCTTGGGGTTTTGGTCTCCTCACAAATTCTCTCGGCTTTCTGGACTGTCTTCTTCACCATCCCCCAGGTCATCTCCGGACTGTTTATCATCCGTCTTGTTCTCCTGCCACTCCTTATCTTCAGTGTTTTGCTTGGGGCTACTGTTATCTGTGGCTGGAGTAGTCAATTGTCTGCAGCTGCAGGTACAAGGTGCGGTTCCAGGTGCAAGGTCCTCATTAATCTGGTCAGTTCTTCCCTTGGATCCACGTTGAAGTTTAATATTTCTTGCAGGAATCCACATGGGCTTGGAGAAGTTTTCTGGAAATACACCAGCATATCCTCAACCAAATGTTAACAAGGGATCGGGGCCCTTCCATAAACCAGACTCAGGATCTTTCCATTTAACCAGACCATTTTCCTTTGGCTTATTCTGACACCAGTGTAATTCCATAGGTGTCTTGCCATCAGCATTACAAGTGAAAAAATTTGAAGTAATTAAGGCTTGATGTAGTTTACTTACAGGAGATTTCTCCACTATTCCTCCTTTTTGTTTTTCAAGTTGGGATTTTAGCCGCTGATGTTGGCATTCTATAATTGCCTGTCCTCAGGAATTATATGGTATTCCTGTAATGTGCTGAATTTTCCACTTTTTACAAATTGCTGGAAATGACAGCTTGTGTCACTGAGTTATTTTAATTGAGTAATAAATTTGTCATTTCTACTGTAGAGATTTTTAGACAAGGTCTTACAGCCAGAATGCAGCCTAGATCGCAGCCTATTGTTCACGGATTTTATCATATTCTTCTCTCCATATCATTGACTGGCATCTAAAGTTGTTTTAGCTAAAATCTGCCTGTCCCAAGGCATTATATGGTAATTTTCAGACAAAGCATTAAGGAGTTCTTTTGTAAAAGAACTGTTAGCCCAATTTTTTCTAGCTGTTGAGCCTTTCCACACCAGAGGCAGAGGATCCGGGGCCTTAGGTATTACAGACTTTTGATCCCCAATACTAATTGGGCATAATGCAGTTCAAACAAGAGTCCACATAGTTAAAGATGACAGGGGCACTCATTTTCCTTGAGCCTGACTTAAGAGAGTACTTTTTGACATTTTAATTCCTTTATCCTTGAGCATGCAAGCTAAAAATTTACAATGATGTTTTTGCCTTTTACTCAAATTCTTCCCCATTACAGCCTGGCTGAAATAAAAGATGTTTCTGCCCACTTATGGTTCGTGACTCCAAAGCTGGAATGGGTTTTGTGCGCAGTGAATTTCCCTTCCTTTTCGATGAACCTCCCACCTTTCTGGTGAATTTCCTTTTTTCTTCGTTTTTCAGCTCAGGCGAATCTTCTTCTCCAGATGCCCCACATTGGGCACCAGATGCCACAACCTTTTTCAGTGAGGAGTCGGGATCTGGAAAAGGGGCCAACACACAAATAAAGACACTAGACAAGAAATATGAATTTAGAAGGCATGGGGGCCAGGCAGAAACCTTTCTCTAGTGGAGAGGCTCCCCGAAGCCCTGGACCTGTTAGCTTTTATTCAATTTTAGAATACACATCTTGCCCTCAGTTAGGCACAGCAATCCAGTAGCAGACAGACTATCTCAAAGGTCAGTAAATATTACTAAAGGTTTACTTTGAGACTATTAGGTCAGGAAGTTGCTTGAGCCATCACTATCTCAACAGAACAATCGATGCATAGCTTTTAGCCCTTGCTAAAGCTCAAGGTTCATCAGCCTTCTGGGTTCCTTGTTGCACTTTCATGATAGTGTTTGACAATGAATAGCTTCCTGCAGGGTGTCCCAAAGAAACAGAATAAAAGTAGATATTCCCATATCAACAAATTGATACTAATATTTCTGTACTACTTTTATAGCATGTAAAGTGTTTTCATATCTGTCACTCATTCATCAATTTGTTAAGCATTTCCTGAGCTCTACCATGTGCTAGGTCTCAACTAGACACCAGAGTATAAATGCAGTGGGGAGGCACTCCCTGGTAAGGCACTGGTCTTGAGGTGTCATCTTAAATGTCACTTTCCCAGAAAAGCCTTTGCTCCCTGATTTGTTAAGTAGTTCCTCCTGTCTTATTGTCTAACAGCATTCTGTTTCATTTACAATATTTACCTACCCTGATCTCCTTTGGGGTAAGGGTTCAACTTCTATTACCTCTGTAAGGCCATGTGCTCGAGACATATTTCATTGCTGGGCCACCAATTGGTACTCAATAAAACCAGTTGAGTGAGTAGAAGACAGGAAGAATAAAACATGCTCATGGAACAGAGAAAGTTAAAAATTCCATTGCTATACACTATGACAAGTGCCAAGGGAGAGAAATGGATGCGGGTATAAAAGACAAGCATTTCATCGGAACACATCAGCTGAAATTGTTAACTTCCTGCAAAAGAGCTATCTCAGGCCAGTATTGTCTGTGAATGGCTGGGTAGATCTGCTTAATTCTGGGATGCAGAATTAGGAGAGCCATCTGCCCACAAAGAGTGATTAGCTGCATTCTCCAAAATCAGCTTTGTTCATAATAAAAATAATATTCTCATGGCTATGTGCCACACTCTTTAATGGTCTGTCTCATAAATGGTTCAGAGCTTGGGAAGGGAAAAGGCACACCATTTATTGCCTTTTCTCATACTTTTAAAGCTAAGTATCCAATTCTTATGTTATCCTTTTGTCTGCTCTCCTTATCATTTATAAAAAAAGATTAAACTGACATGATCATATATTAGAAAAATACTATTTTTCTAAAAATAGTATTTTTAGGAAAAGAAAACAGAAAAAAGGTAAATGGCTTACATTGTCTACTTATCACAGTGCAAAATTAGAAACCTTAGTCTTTGTGGCTGCCAAAAAATGAGTAAAGGGCCAAAAATAAAATAAAAATTCTTTCATAATTCTTTTCCTGGTATTCAGTATATTAGTGTGATGAAACTTAATATGTCTGCAAATAAAGGTATAAATTGCTGCAGAATGTAAAAATATCATCAAGTCACAATACCCAAAAGGTGGAAACAACCCAAATGTCTATCAACAAATGAATGAATAAACAAAATGTGTTACATACGTCAATGGAATATTAGTAAGCCTTAAGAAGGAAGGAAGTTCTGACACATGCTACATTATAAATGAACCTTGAGGATATGATGAATAAGTAAGCCAGTCATGAAAGGACACATTATATTATTTCATTTATATGATATACCTGGGATAGTGAAATTCATAGAAATAGAAAGCTGGTGGCTGCCAGGAGCTGAGGGGAGGGGGAAATGGGGAGTTATTATTTAACTAGAGGCTCAGTGCATGAAAATTCATGCACTGGAGGGGGGGATCCCTCAGCCCGGCCTGCACCCTCTCACAGTCCAGGAGCCCTCAGGGGCGGGAGGCGACCCGGCGATCAGGGGAAAGCGACACCCCCACCACACCTCTGCTGCTGCCAATGCCAGCAGCACAAGCCTTGGCCAGCCATGATTACCTGAGCCTCGGGCAGCCCTGGGCGGCTGGGCAGCCGCCATCGGAGGCTTGCCTGTGCCTCTGGCATCGGCTGGGCAGCTGACATCCGAGGCTTGCCCACACCTCAGGCCAGCCCTAGGTGGCTGGGGGGCTGAGGCCAGGTCCGGCCGCACTGTGCACCTGCCACCCCCCATCCCCTGGTGGGGCTGAAAAGACTGGGGGACTCCACCAGGGCTGAGGGGACTAGGCGCCGCCATCGTATGGCTATGGGTGCTGACATCTTTGTGACTGCATGATGGTCAATTTGCACATTCCCTCTTTATTAGATAGGATATGTAC